AAAAAACCCCACAATTTATTTTGTGGGGGTCGAAAACCGTCACAAATTATCAAAATAACCCCCACAAAATAAGTATTTTCTTGTAGTGATTTAACTTTATGTATCATATCCATAAAAAACCTAACTATCCATTTACTATCTAGGGGCAGTCAGACGGACATAGTTAATATGTTACGGATTTATTGAAATTCAATAATTTTGATTCAAACTCTATGTATATACAAATTTGTTTTTAGTTTTATGATCCTATCTCCTTTTTTTTACACATGGGAGATTTATTTTTATACATAAGAGATCTAAAAATATCATTTTCTTAAATTCAAAATTGTAAAGGGGCATGATGTACAAATAGCACAAAATTTTGAACTCGAAGCATAATATTCAAATCATCTAATCTCTAGTTTATTGTTACAACAACAACATAGTTATAGCCTGTTTGTCCAAGCTTCTTCAAACTTAGAAGCACTTTTTTATTTATTTAAAAGAAAGTATTTTTTTTTTCAAAGTTGAAGTGTTTGGCCAAGCTTTTGGAAGAAAAAAAAGTATTTTTGAGGAGAAGCAGAAGCAATTTTGGAGAAACAGAAAAAAATAGTTTTTCCCCAAAAGCACTTTTTTGAAAAACACTTTTGAGAAAATAATACTTAAAAGCACTCTTTAAAAGCTTGGCCAAATATTATTTGCTGCTGATGATAGACTATAATTACGTATTTTAGTCGATTATTACACTCTAATTTACTGCACTTTAGTTGAGTTTGCGCTTTAATCGCTAGTGTTTTGCACTAAGTGTGTGTTTTATGCCTTGTAGGAGTGATTCCGAGCTATGTAGATGTTATGGAATGAATTCAAATGATTTGGAGCTTTGAATTCTGAGTAAAAATCCAAGGAATTAAGCCAGGATCGTATTCAAGGATCAACGGAAGATAGAACAATAAAACGAAGAATCGAGTAGGCATATTGCGCATTATCTAGTAAAATACAGATAACGTTTCTCTCAGAACTCCATTTGGGTTCCGCAATATATGGTTGGAAAGCTAACTCAAAGGTCTACAATTTTTATATTTTACGTTTTTCCAAATTCTAAATGGAACGGGATGAAAAATGCGATTGAAACTGCAACCGCGGACCTGGAGGCGGACTGAGGCAGTACACTGGGTAAATTTCGCGCCCGGACCGCGGCCACGGACGTCCAGGCCTGGAAACTTGTCCTTTTTCGCGTAGGAGAAGGTATAATTGTTTGGGACCGACCCTACTTGGTATATATACATGGAAAAACGGTATTTTGAGGGGAGGAGGCCAATTTTTGACACAGATTCGACCTAAGGAGGCAGAGACACAATAGGAGCAAGGCGGGGAATTCTTCTACGAGTTTTTCCTTCCTCTTCCTATTTTTCATTGTTGGTTATGACTTTTAGTATTATAGTTTTACATCTATTATGAATAGCTAATTTGTTATCTAGGGTTTTGATGGAACCTTTTGTAGGATAAATTCTTGTTATGTTCTTATATAATTGAGCCGTTGGATTTCTCTACATGTTCAACTACGTGTTTGTTGTTGTTGATTGAATGGCCATCAATTGACTCTACCTATTTAGTGTGTACTGCTCGAGAGAGAGTACATAATTAGGTAATTTTTGAACGTCACTCTTAACATATGTGAGAAATCAATATATTGGGTTTAAAGGTAGGTTTAGAAATAACAAAGCCTTGACGTGGTCATAATGAGCGGTTAGATAAAGCCAACTAGTATAGTTCGAGAGAATATGTCTTGTAAATTGTTGTAGTTGCTCGAGAGAGAATTACGGCACCTAAAATGCTCACGATCAGTAGAGAATACATTGGCGAAATTGTAGGGAACATAGCTAGAAGGATTCCGACAATTGGGGAAATCATAACTCTAGACCTCCTTAATTTAGTCTCCAACCCTTTGTCTCGTTAGTTGATAATTTTACCGCTTTGTAGTATTTGCTAGTTAATTAGATAGAAATATAAATCTCAATCTTTATAATTTAGGAAATTGTTCAAACTTGTCTTCTTAGTGATATTAAACAGATATAGCTAAGCCTTAGTTCTCTGTGGGATTCGACTCCGGACTTTTAGACCGGATTATATTTGAAGCGACCGCTTATCCTTTTTAGGACTAGAGTTGGGCGTGATCAGTTGCTTAGAAGTACTTTTCAAATTAATTAGCCAAACACAAACTGCTTCTCACCAAAAGTACTTTTGAGAAAAAACACTCTTGAAAAAAAACACTTCTCAAAATAAGCTGATTTTAGAAGCTTGTCAAACAAGTTATTAATATAATCTCAAAAGTGGAGTTTGTGAACGAGTTTTATGCAAATAAAAAAACTATTTCGGATAGACCCTTGTAATGTCTAACTTGCTATTGTTAGTGACAATATGGTGTTCATATTATTGGAATTATGGCTGCCCCAAAGGGAGAAACAGCCAAAAGTTGGTTTATAGAAACGTGCATATTCTAGTTAGTTTTCTTAGCCTCAATTGTTGTGTTGCCCCAAAGGTAGACATTTGTCGAGGCTGGGGCGGGAACTTAATGGTTCTCTTGTTGTCTTATTTTGGAAACTTTAGCCACAAAATACGGAAAGAATGAAAAGATTGAGGTTAAGTAGGAATGTGGGATCCAAGATTCAAATTCTATGAATTTAACTTTTAAAGTTTTAATTATTGACTCATTATATTTTTTAAAGTTACGGGTTCCTATATATTACAGTATTTGTTGTAATTTTAGTAGATTTTTATACATGAATTAATATACCGCCTTAAAAGTTATGAGTTTAATTGAATCTGGTACGCCCCTGGTTAAGTAGATAAATAAATTTTCTATTATTTAGAAGTATGAAGAAGCAAACACGCTTCTGTTCACATGCTTGCTTATAGTCATTCAAATTTTGATTGAGCATACATTTTTATCTTTTACGAACATTTCGTGCTATGTGCCTTATTTTTCTAGGTACAGTGGCACATTCTTCTCATTTTCATTGACCACAGTAAATTAAACAAAAAACGACAAATGTCGTTAAAATTTGCTCGTGATTTTACACTAATGTTAACATTTCAGACAATGACGTGTCAGTCTAAATTTTTACCTACTTTCTTATATGTTAACTAGTCTATACACGTGTTACGCGTGGACATATCTCTAAAAGTATAAAATTTAAAAAATTACATAAATATCAACAGGAAACAGCACCCTTATGAAGGTATCAAATTTTAAAGTATAATTTATTAAATAGCCCTTAGCCTACCCTTTTAAGAAAGGGGAAGTCGCAAATTGCCTGTTCAACCAAAAATATTTGTATTTGCTAACTAATATTAATATTTGCCAGTTATGTTTTTGAATGGGCGACTATACAGTAAATTTTTTCTTAGTTATATAGCCGTCCAGAAAAATATATAATATATGTATAACTATGTAACGTACATATATCATACGTAATTAGTGTATATAAAATTTTTGGATATTGGTTAGTGGCTACAAATATTTTTGACTGAATAAATGTGTAACTTCGACTAAAAAAGAACTATCACCTCAATTTTAATCGCTATTTGGCCATTATTTAATACAAAAAATATTTGAAAATAAAGTTCCTACTTAATGTACGGAAGTGTTAGAGTTCGAAATGAAACTCCACCCGACTATCTTAAAAGATCAGTAAAATCCAATAGTAGAAAGGAAACACCAAAATGTGATCTAAAGAATAAAAGAGGGTCTCATCAAAATGTAAGCTTGTAAATTGTAATATATAATTTTTAAAAGAAGAGAATCACTGAAGAACTTTCACTACTACAGATTGCACGATCACAGAAATTTCGTAGATAATATTTAGTCGAGATTTAAAATATATAATGAGTTTTTTTCACGTCAAACAAACTCAAGTTAATTGACAATGACTGTCTTTCTGAGTTTCACCATAATATATAAACTCCGAATACGACTTGATTAATTATCCAACCTATGTAAGAACATTATTATAATCTTTTTTTGCTTTTCATTATTCCCTCGGAGTTGAGTAATTGATCATATTCAGGACAATGCTACTTGCATCTAGAAAAAGTAATAATAGACTGAAAATTAGCAATTGTAGAAACAACGTAAATAATCACCTCCATTGTTAACTCTAGCACGGTTAGATAGAGTTTTACTTGCAAAAGATTTAAATCCCATCAATATATTGTTGAAGTTTCACATGTAGAAGTCCAAAACTCCATATATATTGTGCTAGAGTTTCACATAAAGGAAGTTAGTTTCGAACTCCATAATACAACTTAGATTAATTTCTAGAACTGTACATCTTAAAAAAAATATTTGAACACTTAAGTTATACTAGTAATTCGTCTATATACTTCTACATGAAATTTGTAAAACAAGAAGAATCTCTTTTCATTAATCCCACAAGTAGCTCGATTGGTAATCTTTTGATATATGCAAAATACAAATCTAATCAAAGAATATATATTTTGATTAATTCGTCAACGTAACTGTCTTAGTTAGTTATCTTTCCCGCAATTTAATTTCAATGATTAAACACAGAAACTGTTCAAAGCCTAATCATTAACTATTTCCTCCCGTCCCAAATAGAAGAACGACGAGAATGGGGACTTTGGGTACTATAGGGATAACACATTTAACTTTTTTTATGAATTCATAAATAAATTTCTTTAGTTTCGTTATATTACGATTTAGAAGTTACATAGTACTTTAAGTTATATACACCGTTGCTTTAAAATATTTTACATTATCAGGTCACCTAAAAAATATATTCAGGTATGTGTTCTTATAATGTGGGATTTGTAATCTTGAAAATAAGACAGTTTAAAATGATCTGATGGTATAAAAAATTCTTACACTGGCGAGTGACGATATATATAACTTAAACTCGAATTGACATTTTATTATTGATGCTGCATTGGGAAAAAGTTTGGCTTTATGCTAAGACGTTTCCACTATAAATAGCTCCTAAGAGATCCTTGTTTTTGCATCAACGGATAAGAAAACACAATATAACTAATTAACCTTTGAGATAAGCATAGATTAACTCAATGGCAGGGAAGGTTGAGAAAGTGCTTGCGATAGTGATGCTTGCAATGCTTCTGTTTTCGGAGCATTTCATGGCTGCTAATCATGAAATTAAAACAACTGAAGATAACTCTACTATTAGCCCTTTCTGCTTAGTAAAATGTTTATTTGGATGTAGGGGGTTGGCACCTGCAAAAGCAGCCATTTGTGCAGTTCAATGTTTGGTTAAGTGCGCTATCCAAGATGAGGCCAATATAGCTGAAACTAAGGGCATAATAGGTGAGACTGCATACAACCAGTATGATGTTGGATGTGCCCTTGGCTACTGCTCTGAGTTCCTGTTGAATTATGGTATATATCTCTCTCTCTCTCTCTCCCTCTATTGAATTTTGTTACCAATCATATATATAAAAGTTTAAACTGTTATAGAAATTAATTATTTAATTGTGTCGATCTTTAACTGTTGAAGTATTGCATTACCATCTCATTTAAAAGATTATTATTATAATAAGGCGTTAAAAAGAATACAGTTTTATGTTGGGCTAAACGGCCCGCAAATACTCTTAACATGGTGTATGGTGTGATATATATTGCCCGCTTTGGACCAAGCCTGCATGATTTTTCGCAAAACGCCTCACTCCATTAAGAGATCGCTCTCTCAATCCTTTCAGCTACCAATATGAGATTTTGTTCGCACACCTAACATTTTACTTAATTTTGTTCTCACTAGGCTCTCTGTAGAATTTTATAGGCTTTATTTATATCTTTGTTATTCAAAATTAATAAGTAGTAGCATAAAAGGGTCAAATGATCTTTCTCTAACATACCTCTCTTCACCTGTTTTATTCATCTGAATGATGCAGATGAGAAGAGGTTCAACTGCTGCATGGAATATTGCCGCGAGGGCAAAATGACCTGTCCTGTTGAGGCTGCACCTTGAAGAAATGGTTGCCCTAAAATTATGTAAAAACTATCGCCTCATCAAATGGAAATACACTACTGTTTCTACTTCCAGTGTTTAATTAGTAGTAATAGTAGTAGTAAATAAGTGAGGCATGTTACGTACTCTTATGTTTTGTAATCTTTATGCTTTTTAATAATGTAATCTGTCTGTGTGCAGCCAATGCATACGCGCGACGCTAGCTACTACTTTTTATCTACTAAAAGAGGAGTAATTTATTTTCTGATCGCTAAATACTTATATGCTCGATCGGGAAGCCAGCTTTCTGTAGCTAGAAACTAGAAAAGATGTTAACTTAATCAGCAACTAATCTTCAAC